CATTCCATATAATTAAATTCAATGTATTATTAAAATATCAAGAATAACTTGGCCAGTTTCTTTACTTGCATACATTTCTTTCGAACTACAAAAAGGCAGTATGTTCATGATATACATCCAACACCAGACATATATTTTCAACCATTAAAAATAAATCATTTTTTGAATGTTCAATGAACTCGAGTTCTCTCAATGACCAGCACTCAAGCAGGCTTAACTCTAATTTCGAGAGGTCCTGCAGAGGAAAGTCGAAGGGAAAGTCGCCAGCTAAAATGATAAATAATACTGTTTTCAAGGAAAAACCCTTATTACAACGCAGTGATCAATTGGGCATAAAATCTTTCACAAATGTAATGTTCCATGGGTAAATAGTACAGCAATTTCCTCTTTTGCATTCTCATGTCCGCCATGTTTGTTACATATTCTCCCAGGCGCTTCGTTTCCTGCGTCCTCCCCAAGCACCCCCGCGCGCTCGAGCCACTGATCTATATAACAACACTGTAGTGTGCCCATTTTTAGCGCCTGGGTACGAGGCTGGCTTACAACGGCATGGAGATGGACTTTGGATTATATTTATATTGCTATTCATGTCATGTGTGTTTCCTCGGATATCCTGGTAAAAATGCTTGCACCAGTCGCACGAGTTTTGTACATTCTCCCATTTGTTTCCTTCATTTTTTCGCCTGATCCTATATAGATGTTCACGGTAGGCAACCTGAATTAACCAATAATTTTTGTCCTCATTATAAGAATATATAATGAAAGAGCCTAATGATAAAAAGTTAGGTACAATACCGTTCCGCTTTCGAGGAAGAGCAAAAGCTAACAAAATTTGGTAGCTATATTTCAGCATTCATTTGACTAGTCTTTTCTTTTTTATAATAACAAGACGCTCTATGGAGCGTTAACTCGCTGGGGCTGTACAATTTTGTCACCATATTTGCTCATAATTTGGTAACCGCTACAGAAAAACTGAAAAACAGCTCAGCCGTTCACACTGGCCTCGGTTGGCCAAGGTCTTTCCCAGGGTCTTTCTTAGAACGGTGCGAGGCGGTTGGTTTTGTTGATTTGTTTTTTGGATATGCATTGTGCATAATTTAGAGTTTAGACTAATTGTATAGGGAGAATTTGTATATTTTGCCTGCGGAGGAAACATTGTTCTTCTGTTCAGGCAACACATGCTGTGCTTTTGTCCTTCACACGGAAAACATGCAAATTCCGCTTATATAGAATAGTTTTTGGTGAACTATATTTAAAATCAAACTTATCATGTTTAGCAACAGTATTTGACACAGATTATATTTTTGAGTATTGTACTGTGCCCCAATGGCACATGTACACTCCTTTATTATTTTAACGTCGCATACCAGTCGATTTTGCTTGTCAAGAGGAGAGTGCTGCCGCTCTCAAATTCGCTAGGTTTGTAGTGCAGAAAGGTGGCTCAGTTTTGAAGTAATTAGTTTTGATCCAGGCCTAGGACAGTATAGTGACCCCAAGTGGCCAGGTCAGGATTCTATAGAACCAGACACAATACTAAAACGCGGTGCCCTACAAATAAAACTCCCGGCGTTTCTGCCGTACAAGTAAAGACGATCCGCTCTACAGCTTCAGATTCCAGTTTCAGATTCAAATTCAGATTCATATTCAGATTTGAATCTGAAATTAAACGGGGTCAATTGTCGCGTATAAAATGTGGAATTGTTCTGTCTCTTTCTTTCACGGAATAAACATAATTCGTCAAGGACATCCATCTTCAGACAATTGTGCATTTGACAAAACTATATTTTAGTTTTTAGCTCATAATGTGAAGCCAGGAAAAATCGCAGAAACTACACGACCAACGCGTGATTTCTTACTGCGCCATGTTTGTATTAAGCTGTCGGCAAAATTATTTTTCGCTGTGTATCGCAAAATACGCGTGTATTTCCCTAATTTCTGAAAGACATTCATTAGTACACTATAGTAAATGGTATAAAGAAAACTAGGTCTTAAAAACGTTAGTTGTTTTCTCAGGAAAAATCGCAAATCAAAGATCATGAGATACAGCTTTTGTAACCTGAAGCGAACGTCAACAACGCAGCTGAGAGAATAAACATTTCTCACGCGTCGCACGCTCACTTTGGAATATTCGTCTGCGAAAGACATTCATCTACAACTATCACAAAATGATACAACGCAGTTGTTATTTTCAAACAGCTTGTTGTTTT